ATTACGCGTAATTGCGCCGCTGTCAAAATCAACGGGAAGGCGGCTGGCAGAAAACATGCGCGAGCGGGCGATCGCGATAATTATGGTGAAAACGAGGCGCCCGTGATAAGCCGCGCATGCTCGCTGAAAAATAATTATTCGGCGGAACGGTTGTGGTACCGTAATTGTTGATGCTTTGAGAAGTTTTTTCCGAAAACAGATTGAGTTATGTCGCTGTGGGTTTCTCCTCGAAAAACATACAAAAACGATTTGCTGTAAATATCGATTGGTCTAGAATCTTCTAAAATATTCTGTTCAAATATAATATTCTATTACGCGGATAATATTTCTGATGCGTTTAGAACATTCCCGCCCGCCTTGTCGCGCAGTGACAACAAGTTGTCGAATTTCGGCCGCGGAATCTTAAGTCGATAATGTGGTGCGGAGCGATCAGCCGCGAGAGTGAAAACGCATGTTTGATGTGCAATAAATGGTGTGTAGTTGCAATGCGGTGATGATGAGAAGAATAAGGTGCGGCAAATGTTAAAGCGCATGTGATGATTATGTGGTGAAAAGAGGGTCGCGAGATGAGAGATGAGTTACGTGCCGGCGGGCGGCGTGTCCGCGTTATTCATGCCGGAATACCATCCGCGCCCGTTAGCATGACCAATTTAATAATCGGGCGCACGAGTTCTGATGTGGCGGTGCGGACTGAGACCACGCGGACGATACCGTCGTCCACGGGATGCAGTCTCGTGATCCGCGCGAGAGGCCATCGGGTCCGCGGGGTGAGCTCCGAGCGGATGATGCAGAGGTCCCCGACTGAGGTACGGACTCGGCCTTGAACCATTTGGTGCGGGGGTTGAGGCCGTGCACATACTCAGCCGACCACCGCTGCCAAAAATGGTCTCGCATCAACTGCAGGTGACGCCAGCGTGACAGCGTGGAGGTTGATTGACCCGTCAGCGAGGCTCAGGTACCGCGAGTAACGGTGCTCCGATGATAAAGTGGGTCTGGTGTGAGCGCCGAAGTGTCGTCTGGATCGTCTGTAGAGCTGTAACGGACGAGAATTAAGACACGCCTCTATTTGTGTGAGGAGTGTACTAAGCTCTCAAACGTAAGAGTAGTTTCGCCGATTACTCGACGGAGATGAAATTTCGTAGATTTTACGGCAGCCTCCCAAAGACCACCGAAGTGAGAAGCCGCTGGCGGATTAAAATGCCAGCGGATCCCCTGAGTGCTGGCGGCGCGGGCGATGTGATGGCCCTCGGAGGTCGACGCCTTGAAAAGCTCACGTAGCGTGCGATCGGCGCCAATAAATGTTGTGCCGCAGTCGCTGTAGATGTCCGTGCACAGACTTCTGCGAGAGACGAAGCGGCGTAAGGCGGCGATGAAGGCCTCGGAGTTGTAATCCGAGACGACCTCGAGATGGATAGCCTTTGACCAGAAACATATGAAGACTGCAATGTCCCTTCTGTGAGCGGTGTCCGCGTCTTTGCTGGTCCGGATAGAAATGGGTCCCGCGTAGTCCAGGCCAGTACTCAGGAATGTCGAGTCGGCCGTCACTCGGTCACGAGGAGGTTGCCCATAGGAGGTTGTGGAGTGGCAGCTCGCCAGCGCGTGCAAGTGACGCACCGATGCAACTGCTGCTTGACGACGGTTCTCCACGTGGCACCCAGAATCGAAGGCGAAGTAAGCGAGAGTCATCTGGACGCCGCCATGCAGAGACCGACGATGGCAGGACTCAATTAGCAGTCGCGTCATCCAGGAGGCTGGTGGGACGATCACGGGTGCTTTTCGTCGTAGGGCAGCAGAGCGTGCTTGAGGCGTCCTCCGACGCGAAGCACACCTTGGTCGTCGAGGAATGGATTCAGCTTGACCAGTGAACTGCGTGGTGGACCGGGCCGTCCTGCGGTGCAGCAGCTACCTCGTCAGGGAAGTGGAGCGCCTGCACCACTCGAAGCCACTGGAGTAGAGCGGCGTCTAGCTCGTCAGGATGCAGCGGGCGACCAGATGTGACCTCCCGGCTTGCCAGCTTGAGCCATCGACGACACCAAGCCGTAACGCGCAGTAGCTGATGAAGTGCGGAGAACCGAAGCAGGAGGTCCGGTTCGATGATGACGGAACTCCTGGTTATCAGGCTGGTGGTGCGTTGTTCTGGAAGGTCGTCCTCTGAGATGTCGACCTCTGAGTTGGGCCACGCCGTTTCGTCCAGTGCAACCAGGTAGGTCCTGTCCACCATAATGCGTGGTTGATTAATTCCTCAGGAGTAATTCCTCTTGATGCGCAATCTGCAGGATTGTCTTTCCCGGCTACGTGCTTCCACTGAGCGTCCGGGAGCTGTGTTTGGATATGAGCTACCCGGTTGGCGACGAAAGTTTCCAGCGGGTGGCGTGTCCCTGGATCCAATGGAGGGTGACCTTGGAATCGGACCACAAGTACACTGGAGTAGACGCCAAGCCGAGCGTGTTGCGGACATGCAGCGTGAGCGTGGTGAGTAGATCAGCAGCGCACAACTCCAGGCGAGGCAGTGAAACTTGCTTGACGGGTGCGACCTTGGATTTGCCATGAGCAAATTAGTTGATGTTTTCCTCTTTTCAGAGTTGCGGAGGTAAACCGCTGCGGCGTATCCTCGTTCGGAAGCGTCAGCGAAGCCGTGGAGCTGCAGCCTTGAGTGATCGTCGTCGGTGCTGAGCCAGCGATTAACTCGTATGTTGCTGAGCAGAGGTAGCTGGTTCAGCAGTTGTTGCCAACGTTGAACATCCTTGACAGGCAGTGGAGCGTCCCAGTCCAGCTGCTGAAGCCATGTGGTCTGGATCAGATCTTCGCCCGAATCACGACAGCGCAAGCCAGCCCATCGGGTCGAATAGCCGTGCAGTCTCGGCGAGGACTCGTCGCTTCGTGAATTCTGTGACTGAACGTGGATGTATGGCGAAGGCAAACCAGTCATCTTGAGGATGCCATCGCAGGCCCAAGGTCGAATGGCTCTCTCCGTCCCATGAATGCGGTCCTTGCTGCAGCCGATGCTCTTGAGGGACTCCCGCGAGGACCTCGGAGTTATTTGAGGCCCACTTCCTCAGTGGAAATCCGCCCGCCGTGCACAGGTGGCGTAGCTCCGTCTGGAGGTTGATGGCATCGTCGAGGTTGTCTGCGCCGGTGACCACGTCGTCGACGTAGCAGTCTCGCCGAAGTGCTGTGGCCCCTTGAGGAAATTGCGTCCCTCGTCTGCACAGAGTTGCCGCAGCGTTCGTATGGCCAGGAACGGTGCACAAGCCATGCCGTAGGTCACTGTTAGCAGCTCGTATTCTTGGATTTCGTCCGTCTTGTTGTGACGCCACAGGATTGTTTGAAGACGGCAATCCTCAGGATGTACGAGGATTTGGCGGTACATTTTTTCTACGTCGGTGACAAAGACGTACCGGTGCCAACGCCATCGCAGCAACACGTCGTTGAGCGCTGGCAGAAGATTCGCCCCAGTCAACAGATGAGAGTTCAACGAAGTACCGGCCCGTGTGCGTTGAGAGCCGTTAAATACGACTCGGAGTTTTGTCGTCGTGCTCGACTCTTCAGGACCCCGTGATGCGGTAAGTAACACTTGAGATCATCCGCTGTCGTTGCAATGTTGACTCTCTTCATGTGTTGTAGGTCTTCGAACTCCTGCATGAAGTTGCGATAGAGGTCGCCAAATCGAGGATCTCGGCTGCCTTTGGTCTCCATGGCTCTCAGGAGGCGCTCCGCTGGTCGGCGAGTCTCGTGAAGATTCGTCGGCGGTGATGAAAGTGGCAGCCTCACAATGTACCTCCCGGTGGACGTGCGTGTGACGGTGCGCACATATAATTCCTCGCACTTAGCTTCCTCGGGAGTAAGTGGAGCCCGAATTATTGGCTCGCTCTCCTGCTCCCAAAAGCGTCGAACGAGGTCGGTGAGTCGTGATCGGCGATGCACCGGAATGTGCGGCGATGTCCGTTGGTTGTTGTTGCGTCGTAGCCGCCGGACAGGATCCATCCCAGGCTGGTCTGCTGGGCGATCGGCATCCTTGAGTCACCCTTGCGGAGACCTTCCTCGAGGATCAAGGAGTAGACCTCGGCTCCCAGCAGTAGCTCAGCTGGGTCGTCGTCCAGGAAGCGAGGATCGGCCAGCTGGAGTCCGTCGAGATGAGGCCAGCTGCGTTCTTCTCGCGAGACTGAGCCTTGCTGCAATGATATGCGGGGCAGCACAAAAGCCACCACGCGGAGCTCGGCGTTGGTCACGTCTGACGTGACGTGCAGCGTGACCTTGCCACGAGCTGATCCTGAGCGGGTCCCTCCGATTCCGAAGATCGAGAGATCCGTCGAGACTCGAGGCAGGCGGAGACGTTGCGCCAAGGCCTCAGAAATGATCGACACCTCGGAGCATTGGTCGATCAAGGCGCGTACGGCGTGTGGTGAGCCGTACCGATCGGCGATGTTAAGTCGAGCTGTAGCAAGAAGAACAGCCTTATGATCTCGATCTTGAAGAGTCGTGGTCAGTGTAGTGGCGCGTGACCTCAGCTGCCTGTGAAGACGTGGTCGCTCCGTGCAACGTAGTGTGGTGTCGTGCGTCGCACGTAAGGCAGTTCTTCTTCGACTGACAGCGAGATACGAGGTGGTTTCCTAAGCAGTTGTAGCAGAGCTTGTTCGTCTCTACAAATGCTTTACGCTCGTTGACGGTCTTGGCCTTGAAATCTCGGCAGGTCATCAAGGTGTGCCTTTCACGACACAGTGTACAGTGCGGTGGCTCAGCTCCTTGCTGCTTAGTGAAGTGAGTCTTGGCAATCCGTGAAGCCTCTCCGGGCGGTTTGCTGATGCTCTTCGGTCGTGCGGCATTGAGCGTCAGGATCCGTCGGCTGATAAAGTCAACGAGTGCCTCGTTTTGTGCCGGCTCTGATGAGTCTGACGTGGACGACTCCCATTCCAGACGCGTGCGTGCGTCAAACAATTCGGTGACTAGGAAGTTGAAGAGGTCCATTCCGTGGGTGTTAATTGGACGTCCAATGCTCTCCTGACCATTGACGGCGGCAGTAACGGCGTTGTGAATGCGTCTCAACTCCTCTGCGGTATCTCCCTTCATCTTTGGCACGGCGATGAATGTGGCAAAGTTGGAGCGGATCAATTCCTTTTTATTGTTATAATGTTTGTCCAGGATCGCCCAAGCGCGATCATAATTGTCACTGGTGACAGGTAACGACTTGATTAATTTTTCAGCCGGCCCTGTCAAGCATGAGCGGAGGTGATGAAAGCGCTCGATGTTGGAGATTGCATTGCCACTCACGACGGAGAGGAAGAGATCTCTGAACGACGGCCAATCTGCGTAGGCACCAGAGAATGGCGGTACTTTGATGCGCGGCAGTGACGACCTTGGCGTGGCGTCGGCAGAAGGAGGTACGCTCGATGCACGAAAGTGTTCAGCGTAGCCGTCAAGTATGCTTCTTTGATTTACATACAGATTCTCCGTATCAGCGTGCAATTCTGACTTAAAATAATCGCTCTCGCTGAACTTTTCTTTTAAGGCTGCTCGGATAAGATCGTGCTGCGCTTCGAACTTTGTCCACAGCTGATCCAAAATTCTGGTGCGTGTGGCGATAGCACTGGTAGTGATATTGGAACTGCCCAGCTTCTTCAAGTACTCCACGGAACGTGAGATGCGGATTTGAATCTCACGCTGACAGTCGACCAGCGTGGGTACATCCATGATGGCTGCACACACAGATGCTCACTTTCTTCACTCACACGAAGAGTCACGCTCGCGAACTTGCGGTTGCCGGTGCGAGTATCCGGCTCGAAGGACCAAAAATATGTTCGCGAACGCGCTGCGTAAGAAAGGGTCGCGCGGCACAAAGGATGAGTCACTTTTTTTATCAAAAGAATTTAATTCTTTAAACACACTTAATAACAAATACACTTTAACAAAACTTCATACAAATGTTAATTATTTTACATTAAAATCGTAATCAAAAATCAAAGTGCGGAATAAGCGGCGGTCGTCAACGAAATTTTAGCGGTTTATCAAGTATGCGGTTCACGGCGGAAAAGCGATAAGGCTGCTGAGCCGGGTGTGAGCTCTTCTTTTATAATTTTTAAGATGGAGCCCACCTTCGCGTGAAGCGCCAATAGTTTTGCGGATTTTAAACGTTGCGCGAGGTGACCTGAGCACATTACGCGTAATTGGCCGCTGTCAAAATCAACGAGAAGACGGCTGGCAGAAAGCATGCGCGAGCGGGCGATCGCGATAATTATTGGTGAAAACGAGGCGCCCGTGATAAGCCGCGCATGCTCGCTGAAAATAATTATTCGGCGGAACGGTTGTGGTACCGTTAATTGTTGATGTTTTGAGAAGTTTTTTCCGAAACAGATTGATTTATGTCGCTGTGTTTTAAACAAAATAAATAAACATAGGGACGCTTCTAAAACACTTCATAAATACATTTATTTTATAAATTTATTTATTTGCATGTTTTAATATATTTTGGTCATATATAACTAAATTATTCTTTGTATAAAATTAATAATGACCTAATGACAAGATGACCTGGTTCGTTGTAAAATTTGATGCTGAAGATGCAGTAGAAGCTGTACCGAATACATGGTAATAAAAAAGATGCAAAATGTTATTGGCCACCTGAAGGTATTATACAAAATGTAATAATAGATTTATAAAAAAGAAACATACGCCCGAAGCAAATTGAATAC